AACTGAACTTACTCATTCTTATCGCCGCTGACCATCATGTGTCCGGAAACCTATGCACGTACACGCATGTACATCACAGGACACTCATAGTTCATAATTAGAACTGTCACATCCTTGATATACATCCGTGTCATTGCATCACTTGGAATGTCACATTCATCATCCCGTCCACTTAACTTTCCTCGCTATGTAATGACTAATGAATTTAGAGGGGCGGTGGGGTAGCCTAGTGGTTAACGTGTTCGCTCGTCACGCCGAAGACCCGGGTTCGATTCCCCACATGGGTACAATGTGTGAAGCCCATTTCTGGTGTCCCCCGCCGTGATGTTGCTGGAATATTGCTTAAATTGGCGCAAAACCACTAGGCTACCCACCGCCCCTTGCCAAGCCGAAGACCCGGGTTCGATTCCCCACATGGGTACAATGTGTGAAGCCCATTTCTGGTATCCCCCGCCGTGATATTGCTGGAATATTGCTAAAATTGGCGTAAAACCACTAGGCTACCCACCGCCCCTTGCCACGCCGAAGACCCGGGTTCGATTCCCCACATGGGTACAATGTGTGAAGCCCATTTCTGGTATCCCCCGCTGTGATATTGCTGGACATTCCTAAGGTTAGCGTAAAACTAAACTCACTCACTCTTTGTATTGTATTCCACAGTGTAACAGGGGATGGTATAAACGAGGGTTCAGATGCCTTTGAACGTCATTAGGGGATGTGGATGTTTGCAGTATTTCCTAGGTTTAAGGTTATATTTGTCCTGGCCGAATAAGGTACGAGCTCATTAACGTTCTTACAGTTTTGATGAAACAAAGACAGTGTACGTTTTCTCTGACGCGCTTTGAAAGGGACTCCAATGGAGTTTCCAAATATACATTTTAACAGACGTATAGCCTTTTGCCGACAATATAGTACCCAGGTATTTGTGTGTTTAACATTTTTTTATAGTTTCATGCTCCAAAAATAGTTTCAAAGTTGTATTCGACTCTTTTGTGTACGAAAACACAACAATTTCCTGGGAGTACATGCATAGGGAATTAGTTAATCTTGAACACCTTTATACTATTATTCATATATTATTAATTATTATTAATTATTTATATATCCAGTGTTATTAGATGATATGCCCATGGGTGTGTTCGTCGGAAATTCATCATCTTGTTGAAGTGTTCAGAATATTGATGTAGACAAGGAACAGGAAAGGACCAAGCACCAATCCCTGTAGTACACCAGCTTTTCCCTTTTCATTATCAGACAATGTGCCATTTGAAGACACAGACTGTTTGTGAGCTGTAAATGTAGTCGACCAGACACTACAGTAATTCATCATTTGTACCATAACATATCAATTTATATAACAGTCCAGAGTGGGACACGCTATCAAACGGTTCTGAGACATCACAGAAGACCTTACAATAGAACTCTACAGCATTACACACTTGATTATTTAATTCTAGTTGGTGGACGGTCGAGCGACCGGTTTGGAAACCAGCTGATTGTAATTTGTACTACAACGAATTCCCATGAAAATAATTCTGCACAACTTGTACGAAGACTTTCCCGGTACAGCCGATGAAGGATAATGGCCTTTAAACTGAGAATAGCGTTGGATCGCTTTTGTAAAAAGTGGCACTGCATAGGTTCGTGTTCTGAGTGAGTGAGTGAGTGGGTGAGTGAGTGAGTGAGTGAGTGAGTGAGCTAGTGAGTGAATGAGTGAGTGAGCGAGTGAGTGAGTCAGATGAGTAAGATGAGTGAGTGAGTGAGTTTAGTTTTACACTACTTTTAGCAATATTCCAGCAATATCACGGCAGGGGACACCAGAAAAGGACTTCACACATTGTACCTCAGTGGGGAATCGAACCCGGGTCAACGGCGTGACGATTGAACGCTTTAACCACTAGGCTACCCCACCGGCCCGTAAATGATTGAGTCAGTCAGTCAAACTGCCCGAATCTTCATTCAAACTGAGGTAAATAATATATGATATAACCTTTTTCAATTTCGTTTATTCTCAGTGTGCTAAATGCTTTCTCTGGACACATTTTCACATTTGGCAGTCTTGCCTTCAATCAACATCTGTTACGTTGAAAACCTGTTTACTGATTGGTATTATCTTAACCTGAGTAAACATTTCGACTTTCGTCTCAGTCATACCTGCGCAGGTTGGTTCGAGTAAATTTAATGACGTCTTATTTGAATTTTTCACAACCGGACCTTTTAAGTCCGCTCCTTAAAAGGAGACTACAGCCTTCTCTGTTCAGAACAGTTTCAAATGTAGACAATGAGTGATTTGACTTTGGTTGAACGCCGCTTTGAACAGTACTTCATCTGTATCAGCATGATCTGCTTGACGTGGGAGGAAACCCGAAGTAATGCTAGATGCTGGTGTTTGTATGTAGTGAGTGAGTGAGTGAGTGAGTATGATTTTACGGCGCTTTTAGCAACATTCTAGCAATAGAAATAGGACATCAAAAATTGGCTTCACACATTGTGCCCATATTGGGAATCGAACCCGGGTCTTCAGCGAGACAAGCGGACGCTTTAACCATCAGACTACCCCACCACCCATGTATGAACACACATAATAAATCGACACAATGTCTATTTGTACTTGACATTAACTGACAGATAATTCTGCTGACTGAACTTTACCATTACTCAATCTCACTTGCCGAGTTCATTGAATGATTCTGACCATTATGACAACCTAGCATTCTTGATGTAAACGTAGGTTATACTCGCTGTATATGACCTTTAAACACTGTGAATGCCAACACGTGTTATATTTTTCTACTTGCAGCGTATTTGACTGCTACGCACGCAATGTGTCTTGGCTTAAACGCTTATTGTATCTGATGTATTTGACTAATAAACATTCCAAGCTTCTTGAGGTAGACGATGGTTGTACCTAGGCTTTATGATGTAATCACTACAAAAATAATTACTGTCGTTGACCATTGAACACCCTAGGCTTTATGATGTAAAAGCCAGTTATAATCACTGTCTTTGACCTTTAAACACTCAAGCGGTGTTGTTAACGCTATTTGTACGAGTTGTATTTGACTTCGAAATTGTCTAGCCTTCTTCATGTCAGCGAGAGTCATACTTATAGTATTGGCGGTGGTGTAGCCTAGTGGTTATAGTGTTCGCTCGTCACGGTGAAGGTCCGGGTTCGATTCCCCACATGGGTGCAATGAGTGAAGCCAATTGGAGTCTGGATTCTGCTATTGCTCGAATATTGCTAAAAGAAACCTGAACCATGTGTGCCACCATTAGGTGAGGTGGGGTGAAATTGGGTTAACGTCGTGCTTGAGAATATTTCGCTCATATGACGACGTGCATACGTGTGTATGTGTATGTGCGGCTGCTTGTACTAGCCCAGACTGAAGCTGGTTTTATAGTGCTAGCCCACTGATATACCATGCCGCAGTGAAGCATGAATACCCCACTCAGATACATGTTACTGATTCCGAGCCGACCAGTCCTTGTTGTACCCATTTAATGCCGAGCGCCAGGCAGGGACCAACAAGTACCATATTTTAACGTCTTTTGGTATGACGCGGTCGGGGAGCCGCGGATCGAAGCCGCGACCTTCCGCTCTCCGGGCGGACTGTGCCACCATTAAACCTGGACTATTTATTTAAAACGCTCTTTATACTTATTGGATTTGACTTTTTAACTCTCCAGCCTCCATGGTACAAATATGGGTTTAGCTGATTGAAATTAAAAATGAAACGTTCTTAGCTTTTGAATATCAATTCTACTTTAGCTGAATCAATAATTGGACTCGTGGTCCTTCGGCAAAACGCTAACTGTATTGAACGCTTCAGTGATTAAATGTTACCAATCAACACCAAAAGCATACTACCTGTAACGGTAAATTGTCGTTTAATCAACTGTGATGTAACGACGTATCATGCTGTCTTCATTTATGCTTTCAGTAATATGTCTTTGCAGCAGTTGATATTTCGCTACAGCCGTTTTCGTTGTAACAGTAACATTATGGTATAAATGATACTAATTATCCCTATTTTATTGTTCAAATGAGCTCAATTGCTCCTTAAGTAGTAAGCACTAGTGAGGCTGTTTGCAACATCCAATTTCTCCGATAACCACAATTTCTATCCCACACAGTCCGGGAATTAGTCTGTCTCACAGTCCATTAACTGCATTACTTTCCCTTCTGCCCAGACCCTCCTGCAATGCTAAAACCCTAAATGAAGAATGTCTAGAATGCCCCTTCTGACTAGGGCTCCTTTTCAGTTTAGAGTGAGTGAGTATGGTTTTACGCCGCTTTGAGCAATATTCTAGCAATATTACGGCGGGGGGTACCAGAAACGGGCTTCACACATTGTACCCATTGGGGAATCGAACCCGGGTCATCAGCATGACGAGCGAACGCTTTAACCACTAGGCTACCCCTTTTCAAGAAATTGTTTGTTTCTATCAAAATTATACACATCATCCATCAATGTTTAACATTTCTTCTAAGATACGTAAACCACTTTACAATCGCGGCCAAACCCGCCGCCGTCAATGCCCCCATCACTTGCCCTAAACCCCGACTCGGTACAACTGACCGCTTAATGAAGCCTAGTCTGTCTCACAGTCCCTGAACCACATTAATTTCCCTACTGCCAAGCCCTCTTTGCTGTGCTAAAGCCCCAAATAAAGCAAGTCTAGATTTCCTCAGGTTCAGGAATCTCTGGTCTCCCTAGGGCTCCTTTTCAATATAAATGGGCTTGTTTGTTACTATCAAATTATATATATTCAGAGACTAAGCCTTAGTCTAAATGAAGCCCTACGCATTCCGTTGATCCTGAAACTCAGCTGTGCGCGACAGTTCTGTCAGTCAGTCTCTGCGAGTAATGTACACCGCGTTACGATGGGTGATTAACGCTCGGCACCTCCCCTTTACAAGCTTGTATCGGTTCTGTCTCTCTATATATATCCCAATCATGCAATGCAAACTCAACGCTACAACGACCAATAGGTAACACGCCAACCGATGGACAACGAGCAGGCCATGCTGAACGACACAGCGAGTGGACTGCGCTACTGCTGACTGTCACAGGCCTATTTCAAGGGGGCTCGCGGCGTCCGCCAGCGACAAAGCCGGTTGATTTTACTGAGCGGAGTACTTTAGAAGCGACTATGGCTTCCAACGGAGGACGAGCCGACAACGGCATCGCCTTGACGAGTAGTAACATTGCTCTTACAGAGAAGCCTGCCATCGCGTAAGTTCTTTAAGACATCATATGAATATTCATTTATGCGGAATTATGCATTAATCAGTACACTGTGTTAGTATTCGTCTTATGTTATTCATATTTCAGGTTGTTTAGATATTTAATATTCTTGGAAATTCCCAGTGACCACTTAAAGTGTTAGAAATGTCGCCTTCTTGGAATTCGGATATTCTTCTCTATGGATCTATACATTGGACAAAGTGCTTGTGTTTCTAAGCATCTTTAAGTGTTAAAATATTTTTGTGCATGTTCTATAGTCAACCTTGTTTAAAACGGACTCACTGGATCTATAACATGTTTGTTATATTCAGTGTACGTTATGTAACTGATGACACGCTGAAATGAAATGATCATTATAACAAATTACAAACATATTGTCTTCATTATGCCTTCAATAATATGTGAGTGAGTGAGTTAAAATTTATCGTCACATCGGCAATATTTCAGCCATATCGTGACTCAGTAATATGTCTTTACAACAATTGATATTTCGCTTCAATCGATTTCGTTGTAACAGCTCATATACCTTATATGATATAAATTATACAAATTATACCTATTTTATTGATATAATATTAAGACCATTATGACGCATATCTTGTGAGTGTTGTATAATGGCACATCCCGCAATTCAGCAGATATTTGAAGGAGCGGAATTCACGATGCCAACGAGACCAAATGTCAGCTTCTCCGATGACGTCAGAGATCAGTTTGGCACCAATTCTGTGATTTAAGGCAGTTATTATATCACAGAACACGTTCCAGAAAATGTTCCAAATATCATATAAGAATCTGTCACTCAGTAGGAGTGTCTAACACTATCCAGGTGCAAGCTGAACATTCGCATCGTATTCTCGATAAATAGTTTTTAGAATTACCGTTTAATCAGTTTAAACAGATAAACAAATAGAAGTGTGAAAAAACACATTATTTGTCTTTTTGCTGCCTCTAAGTGAGAAATAAAACACCAGAGATATAATCACGTTTTCACAGGCGGAAACCCGAAGCGAGATATTCGTGGTGGCCTTAGAGAAACAAAGTCGGTTTCTTTGTTGTTTTCGAAGTCATTTTCAGTTTATCATTTTAACATATGACATTATCTCACAGAGAGTGCATCTTGATTTACTACAATGAATTATTCACGCCTATTTGAATATATAAACGCGTTTGGTTTTTAGGATATGCGTCACTGTGCCACTGTTTATAGACTCGGATGACAGTAAACAGAGATGAAGAATATAGCTTTTATTGCCCGCCTGACATATACTGTCAGTATAAGTCAAGACGCTAACTGCCATTGGGCGATGATTGGTTAACGCGTAACGGAGTCGTCGTTGGTGAACGGCCTTACTACGTCATGGACGTGGACTGCACGCGTTGGGAACTGTAATGAATAATTAGCTGACTTTTTTATAAATGAATGAATAAGAGACAATTTTATGTCAGCTGATAAACTAGAACGTGCAGGTTTAATTGAATATGGAAATACATACAGCGTGATGTTGGAGACGAAGCCGGAGCTTTGACTCAAGTGTTTGTGTCAACAAGTAGACTGCATGTTCAGAGTACCCCTGTATTATGTAGGTGTTGTGTGGGAATGGCTCGGTGGCAGCGACATGGTGGTCCAATTCCAGGTTTCTGAAAGGTGGTGCAGGGTAGCTCAGTGGCTGGAACATTTACCATTTGAGTCAAATATCTGGCTGCTAGACAGTGTAGTATAAAGAACTGAGTGGCTTGAGCATTTACCATATGAGTCAACTTTCTTGGTTCTAGACAGTGTGGTATAAAGCTGAGTGGCTTGAGCATTTACCATTTGAGTCAAATATCTGGGCCTAGACAGTGTGGTATAAAGCTAAGTGGCTTGAGCATTTATCATTTGAGTCAGATATCCGGGTTTTAGACAGTGTGGTATGAAGAGCTGAGTGGCTTGTGCATTTACCATTTGAGTCAAATATCTGGGTTCTAGACAGTGTAGTATAAAGAGCTGAGTAGCTCAAGCATTTACCATTTGAGTCAAATATCTGGGCCTAGACAGTGTGGTATAAAGCTATCTGAGCATTTATCATTTGAGTCAGATACAGACAGTGTGGTATGTGGTATAAAGAGCTAGAGTGGCTTGAGCATTTACCATTTGAGTCAGATATCCGGGTTTTAGACAGTGTGGTATGAAGAGCTGAGTGGCTTGAGCATTTACCATTTGAGTCAAATATCTGGGTTCTAGACAGTGTAGTATGAAGAGCTGAGTGGCTTGAGCATTTACCATTTGAGTCAAATATCTGGGTTCTAGACAGTGTAGTATGAAGAGCTGAGTAGCTCAAGCATTTACCATTTGAGTCAAATATCTTGGGTCTAGACAGTGTAGTATAAAGAGCTGAGTGGCTTGAACATTTACCATTTGAGTCAAATATCTGGGTTCTAGACAGTGTAGTATGAAGAGCTGAGTAGCTCAAGCATTTACCATTTGAGTCAAATATCTTGGGTTTAGACAGTGTAGTATAAAGAGCTGAGTGGCTTGAGCATTTACCATTTGAGTCAAATATCTTGGTTCTAGACAGTGTAGTATAAAGAGCTGAGTAGCTCAAGCATTTACCATTTGAGTCAAATATCTGGGTTCTTTGACGGAGTTTGGGTCCCACAGTTGCCAGAGCAATTTCTCTTGACGATTAATACTCGAATTTAATGGCCAAAGCAGTGACCCTTAACCGAATACATTTTTTTCAGTAAGGTGAAGCAATATGACGAACGCCTCATAATTGGGGTAATATGGGACATCAGCGGATCCTGGGGCACACACCAACACACAAATACTGCTAAATCTGTGAACACCGTAACCTGATTAAACCGGATCTCTGCTTCTATCAACTCCGTGTTCTCGTGGTAAGGCAGTAAGGTCGGTGCTTCAATCATCAGCTGTTTCATACCAATGCAAATTGATAGAATGTGTTTGTTGGTTTCCCTGAATGGGGGCTCGGTGGGCTTTGAGACTGTATACTCTGCCTGGGTTGGGGGTATGGGTGGTAGTGGTGGGGTAGGGGTTTCATTCTTGCAGAACGGCAGCATGGTATCACAGAGGGGTAGTGTTTCATTCTTGCAGAACGGCAGCATGGTATCACAGAGGGGTAGTGTTTCATTCTTGCAGAACGGCAGCATGGTATCACAGAGAGGGTAGGTATCACAGAGGGGGTAGTGTTTCATTCTTGCAGAACGGCAGCATGGTATCACAGAGGGGTAGTGTTTCATTCTTGCAGAACGGCAGCATGGTATCACAGAGGGGTAGTGTTTCATTCTTGCAGAACGGCAGCATGGTATCACAGAGGGGTAGTGTTTCATTCTTGCAGAACGGCAGCATGGTATCACAGAGGGGTAGTGTTTCATTCTTGCAGAACGGCAGCATGGTATCACAGAGGGGTAGTACTATAACAATAAGACGGACTATTACAAGTCCCCAAGCCATTTACTACCCCACTACCCCTTCCCCTACGCACGCACGCACGCACGCACGCACGCACGCACGCGCACACACACATCCACGTGACCTACAATAATCTTAGTCACATCTCCTCATTCAAGTGAAATCTGTCACTAACATCCCACCAACATTTTGCACGAAAATAGTATAAAAAGAATCGATTACGATTTTGTGTCGTCGTCTTCGATCTCTGTGCTCGAAGGATGACTTCAAGGGACACAACTCCTGATTTAGTCTCCCAGATCCGGACACTGACTAAACTGTCAGTCCCACGCTAGTCCGGTTTAGACAGGTTCCTCATAATGCATGTTTCCTACGTACAGACAAATGGTATAGAATGCCGTTTCCTCTCAGGAAGCTTCATGATGTAAAGTATAGCGAGGTGAAGGCAAGACAATGATTGGAGACGGCTGTGTTTGAAATCAAGGGGTTTTATGTCCGGAAGTCTTTCATGCTTGCGTCATAAGACCGACGAACAATTTCCTAAGTCATTCTTCAACTGGCGAGTTATTGCAAAGCTAATTTTTTCCACCGCGGTTTTATACCAGCATTTCTTTATGAAGACATCAAATACGGTTCATCGTATTCAGGCTTTGCAGTCGGTGTGGTCGGTATTTAGTGTAGATGGTATCACAGGATTCGTTGTGAGTTATGGGGTGGCCTGACTACTGAAAATGTAGCGTTATCGTTGATGGTGTTGTGTTATGATTGAAAATGTAGCGTTATCGTTGATGGCTTTGTATTATGGTTGAAAGTTTAGCGTTCTCATTGATGGTGTTATGTTATGATTAACAGTATAGCGTTGTCATTAACAGAGTTGTATTGTGGTTGAAAGTATAGCGTTATCGTTGATGACTGTGTGTTATGCTTGAAAGAGAAGCGTTCGCATTGATGGTCCACTGTTATGATTGAAAGTATACCGATCTCATTGTTGGCGTTGTGCTATGATTGAAATTTATGCGTTCAAGTTGATGGCGTTGTGTTATTGTTGAACGTGTAGCGTTCTCATTGACGGCGTTGTTCTATGATTGAAAGTGTAGCGTTATCACTGAATATGTGTAACATTTTTGTTGATGACATAGCGTTATCATTGAATGTGCAAGAATCTTATTATAGTGTAGCTTTATTTTTAAAATGTGTAGCAGTCTCATTGATGATGTAGCGTGCACACTGAGGATGTGATGTTACCATTTATGACGTCGTGGTTGAATTCAGCGCTATATAGATTTTCAGTATTATATTATAATTATTATTATTATTATCATTAAATGCGTGGCCTTCTCATTGATGGGGCAGCATTATATTATGGTATATAGCAGTATCATTAATTGTGTAGCGTTTTTTTGTGGGTTTGTTTTTTTTTGGGGGGGGGTAGCCTAGTGATTAAAGCGTTGGCTCGTCACGCCGAAGACCCTGATTCGAATCCCCACATGGGTACAATGTGTGATGCCCATTTCTGGTGTCCCCCGCCGTGATGTTGCTGGATTATTGCTAAAAGCGGCGTAAAACCAAAACTCAG